TATTTAGTTTATATTGCCAGTCCATTTAGCACAGGGAACGTAACGAAGGAACCTTTTTTTTAAAATTGAAATTTAATTTATATAGATAAAAGTCATGTTTTCACTATGCTTAAAAGATTTCCAAACTCTGAAGAGGCGTACAAACCTTTTTATAATTTAGGTTTTTAAATGTTATACCGATAAAGCATACTTTCAGGCCCGTTTTCAAAAATTAAGTGAGAAGCCAAAAAATATTTTTTATAATAGTACACAAGTAAATAATTTATGTACTTAAACTTACGACAGTACATTTGTAGAGGGAAATATGAGTAGTGTTAGGCGTTAATCTAAGGTAGTTATTGAGTTACTTAATGAAATTATATGAAAAAATTATACTTGTTTAAATGACTTAAATATTATACATAATTTAAGGGTAAGGCCACTTTTTATATAAATATAATTATTGGTAGCAAAATTAATAGTACTTCTTTTCCTTCCCATAGTTTCTGTGGAGCTCTGTTTATGTAACATTGAGATGATACACGAAAACACAATTTTGTTTAACTTAGTAACGAGTTAAGCTTGGAATTTGTTAGAGTTTAGGAGAAATTACGAAATCTAGTGAGACTTACAACTTCCACTAAGTCTTTAGTTTTTAATCTTGTCTCAATTTTTTTTTTTGCCAGAATGCCTGTAATTTCAGTTGAGAACTTCTCAAAGAAAAATAAACTGCCCTTTCATACTTGGTGAGTGATAAAATAATTGTTATAGTAAACTTAAAAACTTATTTGAGCAGTTTAGAAGAGGATCATACCCACGTTTTTTTAGGTGCTTGCTTCTCAGTGATTATTATGGACGTATATTTGAAAAGAAGAAAGCTGAGAAAGAAAAAGAAAAGTTATAAAACTTAACTAATAGTTTAAAAGAGCTAAAGGCCGCTTGTGGGAATAGAGTAGAATTTCGACTTTCCTTATATATTTTGACAAGCCATGGAAACAAGAAAACAATAGCTAAATCTTATTTCTATTTTTGTAAAGTGGATATTCACCTCTACGGAGCATCTTCTATTGTTTTATTTTGGGTGCTTTTTACCAATAAGAATGAAACAAACTTTATTCAGTGTGGTAGCGCTAGCTTTAAACTTGCCGAACTACCAAAACCTGATAGAGGATCTATACTAATAAATAAGTTTGTTAAATAACATTATTACATCACTTTGAGAGGTAATTTTGAATAATTAAGGGCTAAAAATAACGTATAAGAGATATACAAGCTAAGTAACTTTAATCTCGACGATATATTCACCCCGCGTATCTTTTTATATTAGTGCAGGAGCTGGTGTCTCGTCCTACATTGGACGTCGAGCACAGTGATGTAAGCGTCAGCTATCGTTTAATGATCCTTTTTAGGCAACTATGTAGGTTGACTTCCTAAAGGGAAGACTAGGCGCTATTTTGCGCATTTGGCTGTTAGCAGTATCTTGGTGCTTTCATCCTTTGTTGTACATTCCTCCTGGGAGGGAAACTTTTTGTCCCTAGGCTCAGGTCGTAAGGTGGCTGATAAAGATCAGTATTATATAAAAAGACGCGCCCAGTATTTGAGTTATTCCTGGCGGCTTCCCCATAGTTTCGATTTAGGGCAGTTAATTAGGTTCCATACGTGGGTAGAATACAATGTGAATTCAAAAATACCTGTCTCGGGTCATGTCGCCCTCTACTCTTCGGAGGTGTCCTATTATAATCTCCTTGGGTCACTGTCGTATAATTAACACTCTTAGCAAGATATAATCTGGTATCCGCTTTGACACTTGGAACATATGACATGAAAATTAATGAAGCGTGACTATGGTACCTTCCTAAGTTCAGCTCTGTTTTGAGTTGTGTTGTACTTCAGAAACTCTAGGTGCTTCCGCTCGGGCGGAAGGTTGGCTTAAGCTCTTTAGCAGGTGTTATATTTCTTGTGTCTTAGCATGATACACTATGACCAGTAGCATGCCTTGAACTGGTTCCTTTGTGCTCACTCGTTAAATCTGTATTGTTCTACTGATTAAAAGTAGCTTTGAACCATGTTGGGCGACTTGGCTAATTAACCTTGGGCTCGGCTTAAAATAGAAGCTGACGCTATGTATAATGCATTGCCTTCATATTGGTTTCTTCTGAGACGCCACCTACGGTGAGTTAGACGGCCCTTGGGTGAAATCTTGGTGATCCTAGCTCAGTTACTAATTCAAGCTTCTGTCAAGTGTTAGGAGCAAAGACGAAAGCATTCAAAAGAAACACGTTTTAGTAATGATGATGGCGAATAACACTATCGCTCTGTTCCAGAGTCACTGGAGTACTTTGATATTTAGCTTAAGTTATCGACTAGTTAACCTTTCACTCTTAGCTTGGTGGCATAGTGCATGGGTGTTGGTTCTATAGTCATTCGATTGGCCTAGCTACCGTGTTTTTAGCTATAGAACTAAATGGTGAGTATAAGGGGCCGACCCCAGGGTTATATATCACAGGTTTGCAAACTGATTTCCAGAACTTAGAGGTCAAGCCCCATAAATAAGTCGGGAAGGGGGGGTGTTCTTCGATGGGGTAGGGCTAATCTCGTAGATTTCTTCACGTGGCCATACCATGTTAGAGTAAGCTGATCATGTGAGTACTACTTTCAGTTCGCCTCATAAACTGAATTTAAGATAGTATAACTCATTACAGTAAGCTCATAACTGAGTAAGTACACCCCTAACTTTCGTTAGCAATTATTTGTTATTAATGCAGAATTTAGTAAATTTAGGCCCAAGGAAGCCTGTAAAAGCAAGACTTAACTCGTCTCAGTATTTGCTCAGTTAAATCCTAGCAGGTCAACTACACTAGTAATAGTTAAATAGAAATCAGAGACGATTCTCCAAGCACAGCTACCACAGTGTAAAATATGGTCTAAGTTACAACCGGAAGAATATCGCACTATGTCCTCTTTTGAACTGTGTGTTAAAGCACCCTAACGTTCTCCGAGGTTCCGACGACTCTAATGACATTACGAAAGAGCAAGACAACCATACTCGAAACCAGATGTTGATAATTAATAGAATGAAGTATAGCTTACGATATACCCTCAAATCAAATTCAAGAAAGCATATAGTTATAGTGTTACTAATCACCACAAAGTTTTCAGCCAATAAGTTTGATATGTAATTGCCCACGAATAGCAGAATTTAGCCGGACATGAATTATGCCAATCGATGGGAGAAAAGACTAACTTCAATGGTTCCTTAGTCGAAGAAGGGTCTCCCTTAAATTTCTAAAATACTGAGCTAGCATTGTTAATTACGATGCTCAAATCCACACAATAACCTAGTAGCTGGGTCACCAGTCCATACCCTATAGCTGCTGGTCTGCAAGTTTTTCAAGATAACTAATGCTTATCTTGCTTCGTTAAAAACACATGATATCTCAGGTACACTACGACATTGCTCGTGTCAGTCTTATAATAGTAGTATGGAAGCCCTACTTCGCGCCGACTTTCGCGAGAAAAACGGCGAACGCCAGATGTACGTTCAGTTTCACCTAATTCTCGTTTATTGAACACCTTAATTATTTAACTATACAAAACATTGACCCTGTTATCAGTTTAAATAGTGTCTCTTACTAGTATGGTTAATCAAATACTAAAGTTTAACCGAAGATCAAGTTGTAAATTATGCTTTTAACGACTTGAGTAAACTTCTTAAAACTGATGGAACACCCGTAGTAATATATTTTTCATTTTTCCAGTTTAAGGCAAAAAAGAAGACCTTAATACACCAAAAGTTACTCGATCTTATCAAAAGGTAGCCGACTTGTTCGAGAGTACATATAAGCACTAAAGCTATTGTCACTGTTACTTTAAGCCAAATTTAATGCATATATTATGCAATAAGCTACTATGAATATATTAAATCAATGTTATAAACTTTTTAGCTATACATCAGCATCCTTTAGCATAATTAATTCCACCCCACTTGGGTACTATTTTACAATTTCCTTCCAATACTTTACTCTATTAACGTTCTGCTTTAATAGAGCTCAACCTTAACAAAAATAGACCCCAACTCTGCCATCCTTTTAAGCCAAAAGCTCGAGAATGTTCCTACAATAATAAGTTTTTTACTCTCTTAATGTTTTTTTTTTTAAAATTAATTAACTGCTTGACCCATTAAGGTAGATAGAACATACTATACAATTCTTCAAGCTAGTTAGCTTGTGTTATTATAGTGAAACCGACCTGTCAGGACTAGCAATATAAACAATAAAGGTATTGAGACGTTACCAACCAAAAACTCTTACCAATCAATCATGCTAGCAGATAAAAGCTAGATTACTACAGGCCAAGTTGGCAACAGAGTCCAGAATTAATGTTGAATAAAAAATAACATTCAAGGAATATAACGCGCCCCCACGGCTCTGCATCAATCTTAAATATCACTTCTAACTGACTTTAAAATTCAAGAAGAAAGTATGTCTTCGCTTAGTAGTATCACTAAAATACCCTATGGAAACTAGAAAAATAATATTAGGCCAAATACTTCTGCTCTTTTAAACGACTTCATTCTATAAATTAATAGTATAAAAGTTGCAATGACAAGAAGTGCCTTATTATCAAATACGTATCTGATAGCCAAGACAGTATTCTCAATTCTCTCTTAATGTTCTTAGTATGCTTGTGAAATTAAGTTGGAAATATAAGGCTTAGCAAACTATGTTATACTTAGAAAATTTTGAACAACTATATATAGTTACATATAAGCAATAATGATATGAATTGTAAACTTCAGTAGATCTATTTTTCTCAGGTATAAATTATAAGAATAAAACCTAAAAATACAAAATGAAGATTACTAACGCGACGAGAAAGTAAAGTGTTGGCAGAGACGGCCCCCTCTTGGCTCGCGTGCGAGTTGCTCATCAGCGATCACATGGTTCAGTTTTTCACGAATTAGTATTTTAGCAGGGCGGGCATTGCTTTGTACTAGTTCTTCTTCCCTTGCTTTTCTTTGTTGGCGATTCAAGTTGTTGCTTTTGTTGTTAGTCCCAGGGTGGAGTGTTGATAATCTTGATTTTTAAGTATTTTTTGTAATTTATTAGATTAGCAGATTCTTTAGGAATTTGTGGGAGCTATGTGAAGGGCATTTAATGCTCGTAATTTTACTATATACTATAAAGCTGTATCGTTGTTATTCCTCCTTCTGCTTTGAGCTGGACAACCTAATGGGTTCTACTTACTTTTGACCTGTCCCGCTTAGCGTGAGGAGGAAGATTAACTCCTGGTTGTACCAAGCCCTTATGGCCATTTAGTCCATATTGCGCATAGAAAACTAGTAAATCTTAAAGAGTTATCGTGCGGTTAAGCATGTTAACCTCTAACGAATCCAATGAAGACTATAACAACTGATTGCTCAGCTGTTTAAAGGTTGTGCAGTAGGAAAGAACTACACCGACTTCCATGTCTGAGGATATTTTTTTTTTGCTTGTTTTGTAAAACTTTAATATAAACTTTTTTATCTTAAGTTATACTTTTAAATGTACTTATTTATAACCAGAGCGTGGACTTAAATATAATTAACTTGAAAAGTTTAAAAACTTTGTTCCGGTAATAATATATCTTTGCTTATTACGGTTGTTTATGCTAGTGTTTTATGTTTTAAAAAAAAATTGTTTTTTTACTTTAAGCGACCTTCTTTTCAACTAAGCTCTGCAGGTTACCTCGTAACTTAACTTCTTGGCTTGGTTTTTCGACGGAAGGGAAATTACGCCGGTAAAAGGGCTGATAGTTTATTATAACTAAACGGTGTTAGCGAGTCGGCTAAATTTTTTTTTGATGTTGCATTAGTTTTTATTATTTAACCTCTTTTTTAGCTTTTTATATTCGTTTTAATAGTGATTTTTGAAACGCAGAAAGTGATGATACTTTTACGCTATGTGAGTTTGAGAGCTCTCCTTGTTTAAGTTAGGTTTATCTTATATTCTTTGGTCTTCTATAGCGGAATCCCTTTTTGTTTAAAGTGGGAACCGGAACTATTATAAGTTTATTATTGACTTACACAACTAATAAATGTATTTTATTATTTTGCTTTTTGTTTCAATATGTTAGTTGATGAAATATTCTAGTAGAGAATAGTTAAAGTATTTGAGTATTGATAGTATAGCAACTCCGAAGAGGTATTTGCTATAACAAGAAAACGCACTTCACCTCAAATAATATTTTTATTATAAGTAATAGCAAGTAGTTAACATCACAATTACCATTTAAAAAAATAGACAATAAAATCATTCAGGAATTATACACTAAAAGGCTATCATGAACTATAAGAGATACTAATAAACACAAACGAAAGATAGCCAAAAACAAAAGCAAAACATAAACCTTCATTTTTTCAGGAAAATTGTTCCTTTCTTAAGTTATTCAGTAAGCAGAGATTTAACTAATAAAAAATAATATTAACTATTTGCTTAGTAGGCTTTATTTTAAAGAATCCGATTACTGGATTCCGCCTAATAAATTGAAATGTTAAGCATACAAGCGCGCGTAGTTATAAATAGTTTGCGTACCTGTAGTAAATTTAAATATGCGTGTAAACCACTTCACTCAGCCCAAGATGCTTGTATAAGGTGCGGTGTAATATTTTATTTCCTCTTCTTTAACATTCCCAGTTATAGACGCTACAGTTTAACTTTGACTACGAGCAGGAAAGCTTGAATTAATAAGTTACATAATTAATCTAAACCTTAATTTTACAAACAGGAAAATTATTTTTTAACCTTTTATGGAGGTATTGATACTGTGAAACTGGGCAATAAAGTGTGATTGTACTACAAAAACTTTATTTATTTTTGTTTTACTTTTTTTTTTGGTTAAGCCCCTTTATTTCATAAGTTATGGATGAGAGCCAGTAGTTTTCTCTGCGCAAACTATAAGGTGTGGCTGTATGTTCTTTAGCCGCTTACGTTTGTGGTTATAAGCTCTAAAAGTTCGTAAACTTTATTTTTGTAGTGTATGAAAAGATAAATTTAGACCAGTTTGTTATGAACCGTTATGGGAGGTATTTTATAGTTTAGACTGGTCGCTTTAGGGTGAATTTTATTATTATTATTATTGTTATTAACAATACTATTATTATTATTATTATTATCATTTACAGTATTATTATTAACTATAATTATTATTACTAAAGTTTTACCACGACTAAAGTAATTATTATCAATAATTTTTTTTTAAAAAAATCTATTAAAGTCCATTAAAATTTGTTTCCGTCGAAAACTTTGTTATTAATATGTTATTATCACTATTTCAATACTACTATTATTGTAGCTTTTAAGAACGATTTTATATAGTAAATACGGCTATTATTATAACTAGTGTCGCTTTTGTTACTGTTAACACTACTGTATATCAACAACCTACAGCGGTCTCTAGCATAACCTATCCTTTTTAACCTTTATTTTTCAAAAACAAGAGTTTATATGAAAGCTAAAGTCGTTAAATTTAAATCTTTAAGTGGGTAACCCCAAAAGTTACTGTTTCGCAAATTACTTTCCCTAAGTGAGCTAATTTCATCTTTTAAGCGTCTAGTTCTTTTCTAAGCCCAGCGTTCTCGGCTAACAAGTTGGTAGTCTTTTCTTGCTGACTAGTAGTGCCTGCGAAGTGTTGCCCCATGAAGAGTAAAAAAATAACAAAACGGAGATAAGTTAAAATATATGCAACTATAAAAATTTCGTTCAATTAAAAAAAAAAGAGAAAAAGCGCCAAAAAGTTCGAAAAAATCGGGGTGCTTATGTCGCACCCTGCCTAGCTTTCAGGTTATTGCAATTTTTTTTATACCTAATCGACGGATTGGCACGCGGCTACCATAACACATGGAGCGTGAAGTAAATTTTTTCGTGCAGCTAAGAGGGGACATTATAACTCGGCTTTGCTTATCTTTTCTTGCTATTTTTGTTTTGGTTCATTTTTTGTTTAGTGCAGTATACAATTTTAAAAAGTGAAACTTATTAATTATATGCAGTTATAAGATATATTTGTAAATATAGGAAAGATTATGGCCCCCGAACGTTAGTTACTCGCCTTTAATATATTATGTATCTCGTTGAATTTATTTGTAGCTAGTATGAATTAAGTTATTAGTTTATACACTATGTTGATAATAATGTTAAAAAAAACTCATAATTTTAATTAAGTTTTCTTTACTTGCGGTTAAGATCAAATTTTCGATAACTTTTTCTTGGGAGTTACTAAATCTATATTATATGATTGTATTGGTACTGTAAAAAGGTTTTAACAATAAAAGAGGAGGAATGCGAGCTGGTTTTAGAGGAAGAGGAGGTGGTGCTCCTGGAAGAGGCGCGCCTCGGGGAGGAGTTAATAGCGCCCGAAGAGGATCGTTTGGGGGACGCGGCGGGCGAGGTGGAAGGGGAGGACGGGGCGATCGCGGTGGTCGTGGTGGACGAGGCGGCAGAGGCGCTAAGAAACCCGGTTTTAAAGGTATCTTTATAATGTAAAATTTTATAGAAAAAAATAATATTAATAGTAATTTTAATATTTGAAATAAAATTATAATTTAATTTATACAATAATTTTTTTTTTTCAATTTAAAGTTAGTAATAAATCTACATAAACGAATTTATACTTACTTAATTTTTTTAATTTATCAATTTTAAGTATAGATTTTAATAATATATATTTATTCTAAAAAGAATTTGGTTATATCTTTTTTATATTTTTGGTATTCACTTTTATTTTTTAATATATTTTTTGAATGTTTTAAGATTTTTTCTTTTTTATTATTATTACCACTATCCTCTATGTGTTCTATTTTTATTTTTTTACCTAAACTAAACTGTTATTATTTTTTTATATCCATATGCGGCTAAATATTTAACATAAGTTTAATTATTGATTTCTGTTCTTAGATATATATAACTATAGAACCTAAATATTTTATGTTACTATTATTTTTACATAATAAGTGCTGATGTATATTTTGTTAGTTTTAAGTTTTAAATTTCCTTTTTTATATTTCTTCTAATGATTACATTTTGTTTAGTCAATATTTTTCAGTCTTAACGTACATATAAATTTATTTACTATAATATTTTATTTATTTTTTAAATATATATATTTATAAACTTTATATTTATTAATTTTATAATAAATATTTAGAATAAAAATCTAATTATCGCTATTTTACTTAATCAATAATTTTTTAATTTTAATTAAAGTTTTCTTAACTATTTTTGATTAATATTTATTGGCCATTTTATGACCAGTTAAAGTATATATAGTTTACTTGACTATTTAAAAGTTTTTTAATTAATTATTTTAAAAAAGTTTATTAATTGAGGTATTTGTTTCTACTAATAATATCTTTTTTATATTGGCTAATACAGTCTGCTGCACTAATAAAATATAATTTTTAGTATTTTTAGTTATTTTTTGAAATTTTTTATTTTATTTTATTATTTTTATATTATTGCATATTAAGTTTAATTGGTTATTAATGCCTTTTTATAATTAAAATATTTAAAAAATAACTTTCAGTCAATACCTGTTCGTCCCTTTAGCAAATTTTAATTAATATAATTTTTTTATCAGGCGGCTCGAAAGCCATTGTTGAGCCTCATCGCTTTCCTGGCGTTTTTGTGGCACGTGGCAAAGATGATGCTATTCTTACAGAGTCCATGGCTCCCGGCCTTTCCATATATGGCGAAAAACGCATCCAAACAGAAAGAGAGGAAGACGGTTCTTATTAGTCATTTTCGTTCCTTTTATATTATTGATGTGTAATGTATTTAATAAAAAAGCAGTTAATAATAAGTTATTAAAACAAGTAATTCAAGTTTTGATTAAATTAATAATTTATCATGAAACAAACAGTTAAGTAAAAAATATTAAATCAGTCAAAGAAGCATTTTAAAATTAATAAGATTATCAAATAAAAATACTTTTGTTAGTCCTTGAGTGATAAAAGAAAGGTTTAGAATTACTAATATTTATGTATTAATAAAAATTGTGAATTGTTGAAGTAAATGTATTAAGTCGGCAAGGGGAATTAGCTCTCGTGCTTTTACCTTTTTTATGCTTGCTGAGCGTTGACCTCAGCTTTTTAATTCGTTTGCGCCATTTAATAATTATTTGTAAAAATAAATTTATATTACATTTATTTGTATGAAATTTTTTTATATTATATTATATAATATTTTGGTACTAAACATTAGTTTTTATTTTTATTAATACTAACATCTATTTATTAGTTAACGTTTTATACTCTTATTTTGATTTTAATACGAAAAAATAAGTTTTTTTATTACTTTAATTTATATAAGGCCAGAAGAAGACGGCTGAATATCGATTTTGGAATCCATTTCGCTCTAAAATAGCTGCTGCTGTTATTCGAGGAGTTGAAAATATATGGATTTACCCGGGCGCCAAAGTTTTGTATCTTGGCGCCGCTTCCGGTAATGGCGTTTCAACTAATTTTTTATATTTATTATTATTTGTAATATTATTTTAAGAATTTTTATCCTTTTTATAGTTATTGTAATATTTTTGTTGAGAGCTTATACAGAGTTAAAATTGATGTTTATTTTATAAGCTATTTATAGAATGTTTAAAAACATAAAATAATTATTATAGCTTAATAGTTCAGAATTCAATTTGGTGTCTTCCTTATTTTAGTTTATTTTTTGTTTAAATTATATAGTTCTTTATACGAAATTACAATGTTTTTTACTCTTTGAACGTTCATATTTTTATTTAAATTGATTTGTGAATTTTACAAATAAATTAAAAAAAAACCCGTTTAATGTCTTAAAAAAGTATAGCATTTTGTTTTTATCGAAATTCATTTTGGCGTATTTAATTTGAACTCAGGGGAGCTATACCATGTAAGAGGAGGTTTGTTTTTCAAAGTTTTATTTTTTGTTTTTGTTAGCGAGCTTTGCTTTTCCGTGAATAGAATGTCGCAGGCATTTGCTTAATTAGTTTTTTTTATTACTTTTAAAGAGTGAACCGGCAGAGTAGAGAAATTATTTTCCTTTATATATAAAATTGACTTTCCGTTAGTCAGTAGCAGAGCTTAAAATTTTTAAGGTGAGAAGAGGTGGGAACGAGAGCTTATTTAGTTGCAATTATTTTACACCAGCTAAAGTTTATTAAAAATTTTTTTTATTAGTTCTATTAATAATTTATTAATAAGCCTATTATCTTATTAAAGTTTATATCAAATAGTTGTTTAATTTCTTTAATAGTTTTTGTATTTATGTTTTTATCTTTTCACTGTAATAAACATTCATCTAATAATTACTGATATATTTATAGTACAATCCTTTTATATCATTTATATCATTTTTACTATTATATTTGATCTTTCTTTCGTTATTAACTTTTTTTTAACATAAACTGTTTTTTTATACCCTTATGTTAAATTTCTTAACCATAATGATGTGTTTTTGTTATTTTAATATATACTATTATTTTCGAAATTTAATATTATATTCCTATTGTTATTCCCTACCATGCAGTTATTTTTATTTTTATTTTTATTTCTATTTTACCACTCATTAATTTTTTAAATAACTACATTAATACAAGGTACCACTGTTTCTCACGTTTCCGATATCGTTGGTCCTGAGGGCCTGGTGTATGCTGTGGAATTCTCTCTCCGTTCCGGTAGGGATTTGGTAAACGTTGCAAAGAAGAGGATTAATATTATTCCTATTATTGAAGATGCGAGACATCCTTATAAATATCGGTACTTTTATAAATATATTTTTGACCGTTATTTTTTTTACTGCGGCTATTTTTACTCGCGTTAAGCTATATATACTTTTTAATATCACTAATTATTTTGCTAAAATCTTTTGGCGCCTTTTTTTTTGGTTTGGAAGTTTGTAGTGGTATAAAAATTATTTCTTTAAGAATTTAGCTACAGCGAATTCTTTTTTTAATAAATGATTTTCTCTAAAACGGTTAATTTTCTTTTAAAGGATGCTCGTTGGGATGGTTGACACTATTTTTGCTGATGTTGCTCAACGTAATCAGGCGCAAATTGTTGGGGTTAATGCGGAATATTTTCTAAAGAAAGATGGCCATTTCGTAATTTCTATTAAGGTATGTGTTTATTAAATTTTTTTGTTATTTTTTTTTACTATAGCTTATTACTAGGCAAACTGTATAGACTCTACTATTCCAGCAGAAGCAGTTTTTGCTTCGGAGGTAAATAAATTACGTTCTCTCGATTTGAAGCCCTCCGAGCAAATTTCGTTGGAACCGTTTGAACGTGATCATTGCGTCGTTGTGGGAACTTTTAGGAAGACTCCTACACAAAAAAATTAGATTTTAATCAATTTTAATTATAGTTTATTTTATTACATTTTGAAAGGCAGAGATGCTACTCTTGTTTGGAAGAATAAAATTATATTTTGGTTAAAAAATAAAATATCTTTTTTTTTGCTCTTTTTTGAAGGTTGGTTTTAAAATATTATTTTTGATTGACAGTAAACTTGACAGTAAACTTATTTAAAAAATTATTTGCTTTTAGTTTCCACACGAATTATTTTAACATCAGTGTTCCCTTGTACTTTTTAAAGACACTTTTTAGATATTGTCTTAATACAATTATAAGGGAATCATATTTTTGAATTATATAGTTCCTCACTTTTTAGGATTTTTGTTAGAATTAAGTTATCTTTGGTGCTGCAATTTTTTGAAGTTGGCGAGTTTGTTGCTAATTGTCTCAAAATAATGGATTATAGTTGGGGGAAGATATACATAATACTTGAAAAGAGCTTCAAAAGTTTTTAAAAATTATAATTTAAAGTTAATATTATATTAAAGCTGCAGAAGTTTTTATATAAGGAATTTTTTTCTTATCAAAAATTTGTTTGATATATATTTTATGCTAGTTTATAACATAAATATACTTTATATTACAATTCTTTCATGGTTAATGTAAACGCTTAGAAGTTTTTTTTACAGATATTTTGGAACTTTTTGGGATTGCATATACATAATTAACATTAAAAAATAAAAAGTTTACCATATTTGAAATATTACTGATCTTAGTACGTATATATATAAACTATGCAGTTCAACAGAATATCATTTCTTATCAGGCACAGAAGCTTTAAAACGAGCTTGTACTTGACGGGTTATATAGTTAATAGCAGAGGTATTGCTCAAGAATGAGGTTAATGATAGAGATAAAGGAGGGTTGACTAATTATTTTGTGCACTGCCGCCTATAATCCATTTTATTTTATTTTATGTATATAACTCTCATACTAAAGCCTTGTTCCTGTAAAGATTTATTTTGCCGTTTCTCACAACTTTGCTTCTCGAGAAATTTAATTTAATAGTTGTTTACCGGTTCCAGCTAGGAGAGAAACAGGGTATTTGCGTCAACAATATCCTACCGGTGAGGAACAACAACTTGAAAAAGCTGGGTAGATATACTCATGAACTTGCCCTGAACTTAAAATATAAATATTCAAATGCTTAATGAGGCACGATGGAAATTTATTTTCCTTCTAAAGAACATTTTTTTTTAATTGCAATAGTGAAACAATAAAGCTGATAAGTAAACTAAAGAAAATTGTCTAAATAGGGTGCTTTTTATGTGCCCATAGCGCCTTCTTTATATATTATCTCCACGGATATCATAAACCACTAAGCTTCCATAACGGTGTTCTTGTTTCTTAATTTTTTGTAAATTTATTAGATAACATAAAATTTAAGTCCATGATATTAATTTTGCTTGCAGCTTTATTATTAAATTTAGTATGTTTTTTTGTTGTTTGAGTTCTTAAGTCTCATGAAGTGAAATTTATTTAAAATTTTTATATGAAAAGTACGTGAAAATACGCTTTTCTTACTATTATAATTTTCTGTCTCTCTACTAAATGAACCCGGTCATTTGGTAACCTAGAGTTTTTATGTGTTTCAATTAAACATTTCCTTATCTTTCTTTTTACAAACTTAATTTAAATGTTACTACCTGACAAGTCTAGGTGAGTGGGGGTTAATGGATAGCGGGAATATGTGAAGATTACTTGGAGACTGCAAACTTTTTTTCTCTCACCTTTATCTAGGTCGTTACTTGAACCTTAGGTGAATAGTAAAAACCAGGATAGTTTAATAAAAACGCCACGTAGATATCTTTGCCTTAGTGTTACTTAATATTTATTAAATACTAATGTTAAAAGTAAAAAACCATCATTGCAACTCCTTTTCCTTGTTTAATAGTTTTCATAGTGAGGTACCGTCAGCCTACAATGGTTAACGGCATAAAGAAGGGTGACAGAGGAAAAAGATCTGCGTGAGCTTTACTTAATCTAGCTATTTATTAGCCCTCCTCAGCTTTCCCCGAAAACCTTATCCTTAGCTTTTTAATACTTGTTTTTAATTTATTTTTTTTTGACATGGGGTTTTTATAAAGTTAACAAACGAAAATATTGTGGTATATTAAAAATGGAGACAAGTGCCTCTGAGGAAGAGAAAATTGATAAAGAAGAAGTTCAGCGATTTGAACTCGAATGTGAATTTGTACAGTTGCTAGCTGATCCTTTATACTTACAGGGTACTTTGATTGTGTTAAGTCCACGTTTACTGATTTTACTAATAAAATAAAGAACTTGCAAGGCATAAATATTTTGAGGATAAGAGTTTTCTTAATTACCTAAAATATCTTCAGTACTGGAAAGAACCGCAATACTCCCAGTTTCTTAGGTTTTTTTTATTTTTCTTGTTGTTCTTTTATTAATAAGTGTATAGATTTCCTCAGTGTCTCTTTTTCTTGGATATGTTACAGCAAGCTAGTTTTAGGGGCCTTGCTTACTTCCGACGATTTCGTTTCTAATTTAAAACAACAACAACATCTACACTGGCGTTACTATTATCCAGAAACAGTTGAAGAAAACTTGAAAAATCAATAAGATTATTAATATTTTCTTCATATATAATTATTAAAGTTTTTTTTGAACATTCACACTGTTATGTTGACTGACTGATAATAGAAGTACATTACTGTCAACATTTGATTTCATTGTAATTTTACTTGCAAGTACTTTGTAAGTACAGTAAATTCTTAAAGGTAGACAGTCTAAAAAGTAATTTAAACTAGTTTTTTGGCAAAAAACAAACTTTTATGTTTTACTTCTTTTTCAAGATTTTTTAGTTTATTCATTTAAGGATTAAAAGAATGTAAGAAAATAACAGCAAGGCGAATATAGTGAGTATATAAAAGGTTAAGGTTTTTTTGGTTTTATTTTGTAAGAGCTAAGGTTTAAATTATCATAGATGTTTAACGGTTAAATTAGTCGTAAGAAATGTAACTTACATTTGTTATACTTTTACAACTTCTCATTTTTAAGGCAATTATCTAGCATGTTACTTTCCTTCTACCCTAGGCTCTTTATTATGAATGTATTTTTAAATTTATTCTAAAACAAAAAAATTTTTAATAGAATATTAGTGGGTGTGCTGTGCAACTTTTATTATTGCATTAAATTGTTTATTAAAAAATTCTAACACTCTTAAACTAGATGCAGACTGTAAGTGATAAAATATATTAAACTACGTCAATATTTAGACTTCTATCTTCAGGGTACAGTAGATCAATATCGAGCAACAGGTTATGAAGATGCGTAACTAATAATAGACTGATAATAGCTTTATCCATAAGGAGTTTATTTCAAATAAAATCGTTTTTATGCATACAAGGCATAACGCATAACTATTATATTCTCGATATTTTAATAAGATAAATAGCATTTGGCTTCCAATTAAGACTGGAGTCAATATACATGCCATGATATTTTACTTAACTGTTTCAAAAAAAAATTTTTTTGCGATAGCTTTAGAGAATTATCTATTAATTTTTCCTTTTTCATGAGATTATCATCGCATGGCATTTGGCATTCGGTAGATTTTATCGTAAGTTTCCACTCTTTAAACCCTTTTTCAAGGATATAAAAATCGGCCCACACAAGTTTAAAAGCTAATGCGGGTTACCTTTGAACTACGCGAGACATCGCAGCGCCATCATAGAGCTAAGGAAACATTTGTTGGTAGGAGAGGGAAGTGTCACACGTATATAACGGAACAATAAAAAAGAGCCCTGAATGACACTAGCTTGAAAGATCCTGGGGACGGAGGAGTCTTCTTTAATAAGTAAAACAAATGACCTATTGCAAAGAAATGAACACAGCAAGCGCCCAAGTCACTCTGAAACTTATATACAATTAATTCATGGATGTCTTTCATGACAGTACTACAAGCTTTTCAATATTTACGAATACCATAACTGTTGATCCTTGCAAATTAAAACTTTTGTGTTATTCTCTATGATCCTTAAAATTTGATGTGTAGTAGGTGTAGTAGAGTCCTCTACTCGAAATATAATCGCCGGGAAAGGTAGGGGAGGGAGGAAAGTAAACTAATTGACCGGTAGACTTTAGCATAACCGCTAATATGGTTGTAGTTGTTAATATAAGAGTAACCTAACTTTTTCCCCTGGAAGGAAAGTAACCCTACTAAAGACTAAAGAATAGAATAGGTAAGTTTGATAGGTACACGCTAACCATTAGACGAAGACTTTTTAGCATCAGGTTTGATATACCGTCAGGGCCCTTATTTTTTTCCCTTTTCATTCGCAAACACTTGAGTCAGAGGTAATCTACCTTTGCGGAATGAGATAGTATTTGGTTGTATTACTAAAGATAGTGGAGAGCTTGCGCTAAGGAGACAAAATTTCTGCAATATATTGGCCTTTTCTTTATAAAAAAGTGGTATAACATGAGTTTTAAAATATTTCGTTATTTTTGCATAAAATTATTGGACGGGTTTAAAATTCGTAGCTCCATATCCTAGAGGTTGCTTTAAAAGTATTTAGTTTGCGTTAAACCACATTACTTATGTTGTTAGAGTTGACTTATCACATGAGGCTCGTCTTTCCATTTATATTCTTTTTTATCGTCTACATTTATGTTTTTTAAGGTTAGAGGGAAAGATATATTTGAATTGTTTACTATTTTATAAGTAGTTGATGAGTTCACTAAGTAATTTTCGTGTTCTTAAGAGGGAGCAGCATCAATTTCAGACGAACAGGAAGGAATCGGCAAGGGCGTTAAATTATTAACTGCTGTTTTTTTTTAGATTCCAACTGACTCGACTTAAACCTTTAACCAGCAATGATACCGGTTCATAAGCAGATGATAATTTATAAAGATTAATAATGTGCAGAGGAATTGATTTCTTTACAAGGCTATGGCTAAAATAAAACGGAGCCTCTAGTTAAGCGCTGTGTGGTTCTAAGGGGCCAGATCAAAAACTTCACTATTGTTTTGCCCAATGTTTTAAATTGTTCTTCCCTCTCTTCCGTCAAGAAGGGCTACTATTTATGTCTCCTTAAAAAATAACTTGGTTATTATTATATAAATTTATCTAATTACTCCTTCAATAGTTCTTTCCTAAGCGACTTATGACAGGAAATAATATCTGCTGAAACCAAGTTTTTTTTAAGTAATGCATATATTGGTAGACTATAGATTTTTAAATTTTGGTGAATTTAAGGAGAGCTTTATATGACTCTTTATAAGTATAACTGCGCCTCCATCTCTCATGTTTTTCAAAATATATTAAATATAGTCGCCCAGTATTTTTATGCAACAGAGAACAATATGAACTTTTTGCGAGGGCTAAATAACAGGCACATGGTGGTTGCGAATCCCTTAACTCCTATATTTTCTCCCCGAGCCGTTACCGTGTGGGCGCTTGCTAAAATATAAAGTTGTTTTTGTATTAGAAACTTTATATTATTTTTAAGTCATTTTTTTTGTTTTAGCGTTAAGAATGATTTTTTGAATTAATAATATTTAAAACGTGTTAATAGAAGTAAAAACAAAGAGATGGAGATTGGGCTTAGCGTATGGTCTGGAGTGTTAGAAGTAACTTCCAAAGCCTGCAGATTATACATAAACCATATGAAAGGCATAAGTCTAAAATTATACCTTTTTTAATATGGAAATATAATTACTCTTAGGGGATGCGGACCAAATAAATAAAATTATACAATTATAGTTGAGTTAAGATGACTCCTTAATAGAAGAGAGGGGCTTAATATTTATTGCACAAAATTATAAAATCTTTTATTTAGCACAAACTTTTTATAATAAATTGAATATTTTTTTAAGGAAATTTATACAGTTTTTATAATCTATGGCCTATAGTCAAACCTTTTTGGAAGGAAGTGCTAGCAATATTATTTTGCATTGCATGTAAACCATTAATAAGTAACAAACTATTATTTAAAGTCTAATAAGGTAACGCATGCTTTCCAATATCTTTTAATAAAGTATTAACTTTAAAGTGGAGGGAACTACAGCTTCTGTGAAAATTCAGTGAAGGCACGGATAGATATCTTGAAAGTTGCGAAACAAAGATTCTTTTTAACTATTTAATATAAAAGGAAGGTAAATAGACTTGAGTTAAAATATCGTAGTGATTTACTTAAAGACTAATTTATACAACGTTGCACTTACCTTATTAATGCCTTACAACCAAAAAATAGTATTGACTAAAAATTTATTAAACAGAATAAGTTTTAGATGAGATGAAAACTATGCCCTTATGAATCCAACTACTTACTTACATGATAATATGAAAATAATAAATCCAGTTACTTACATACATATAAAATTGAATAAACTGCTTGAGTTAACTTTACAATGTCAGGCAATATGTAACGATAGCAATTAAAAAGGCTATTGAACTCCTTAGCTATAAAGTAATTCGAAAAATAATAATAAAACATTTGAAGGAGCATAGTTACAATGTTTTAAATTTATATTTTTAATATATAAAATTTTTGCTTTTCCTAATATGTAGCACTGCTATTTCCAATAAAAAAAAGCTTTTTTTGTATTAGTTCATGTTATGAGTAATTTAAAATAATTCCTTTAAAGTAAATTATTGTACAACAGCAACGGAACTTAATAAGATTGAAGTTTTAGAATTCTTTATAAAAATATTGCACAACCATAAAAAATTATAATAAAAAATAAGAATTGCTATTATTTTAAATATTATTACTTTATATATCTTTAATAGTTTCATTAGCACCTACAATGCTTTTTTATTTGTAAAAAAATTTAAATTTCTTGCCGGCGAAGTGAGTAGCATACGGTGATGCTCATCAGCCAAAAACATTGTGGAAACTGGGGGGAGACTACTTCTCTCAGCCAACACTGTAATCTACTGCTGGATTATATAAATTTTTACTTCCTACACTTTTATGTTTACATCGTTGTGAGGCCTTATATTTAATATGTTATTAAATAAAATAATAATTTTTTTTTCTATTTTAAGTTAAAGTACTTAAACAAAGATTTAAGCAATTTTTAGTAACGAATTATATTTTATTAAAAAGTTTAGTTAATTAAAAAATAATATTTTTGTATTTGACACTTTTACTTTATTTTTTATTTTCATATTTAAGTTTATATATTCTCTAAAGAAACTTTATATATACATAAATAATTTTTTTATTTCTTAAGTAAGTTTACTTTTTTAAACTACTTTAATTATACCATCTTTATTATAACAAAGCTGGTGGTGATGACACACCTTTTTGGTTCTCGCCAAACTCCAGAAGAAACTCTTCGCCTTCACAAAAGAGCAATTAACAAAGCCGTTAGAGAAATTGAACGTGAAAAAACGAGAATGGACAGGCAAGAACAAAACGTTCTTATAGATATAAAAAAAGCAGCAAAACTTGGACAGCTGGTTAATATTATTACTAATAATAGTAGAATATTTTAATTGATTTTAAATTTTTATTGGTGTAATTAAATTTTAAAGGATATTGTAAAAATTCAAGCCAAGGAACTCGTCAGAACTCGCGGTCACATCAAGAAATTTTTAGTAATTACTAATTTTTTTGAAATTAACTTAATAATTATAAAAATCTATAAATTTAAAAAATTTACCAAGTTAAAAATCTAATATTTATAATTAATATTAAATATGAATAAATCTAATTAATATTTATATTACACCAATTAAAAAATTTATACAATTTCAATTTATTTTTAAAATATTAAAATGTTTGCATTTTTTATTTATACAATTATTTTTTTAGATGATGAAAACACAACTTCAGTCTGTACAAAGAAATCTACAGTCCATGCAATCTACTCAAGCCATGACTAATGCGTTACTGGGTTGTTCCAAAGTATTACCTAATTTTTTTTTTAATTTATCAAATTTTTGTTAATTTTAGTTGTAAAAATTAATTTGTTAAGTTTATTTAGTATTTTCTAAAGTTTTCATAAGAAATTAATTATTGTTTATTATTAAAGTATATTATGTATATACATAAATAGTTAAATTTATTTTTTTAAAAGATTTTCAGTGTATAAATTATTTTTTAAAATTCTTGTTAATTCTACTTAATAAAAGTAATATCATATAAAAGTTTTTCTTATAAAATTTAATGTCATATAAACATTTATATCAAGAATTTTTAATATTTTTAATTCATAGAGATGAGTAGTATAAAATTGTAATATTTTTTAATTCTATTAATTAATTAATAAAAATAAAATTTATTAATACAACTTTAAAAAGTTTTTATAAAAGCCTTTAGGTTTTCTATTTATTATTTATTTATTATTATAAAAAAGTTTATTTAATTTACTAAAAAAACTCTTTTCCAAGTGCAGAAGTTAAATTTTATAAAAATATAAAAACTCAATCACCACAAACTTATTAGTAAAAAAATTTTTTTTCAAAGTTTTATAATAATAATTTTTATATAAAAAGTTTTATATAAAAAAGTTTTTTTTTATTTTTCATATTAATTTTAATTTTAAAAAAAAAATTTATCTCAAAATTTCAATTTAAATTGTGAAGAAAATTTTTCTTAAAACTTTATAAAAGTATATTATAATATATATATTTATAAAAACTTATATAAAAAATATTATAACAGATAATTTTTATTGAGCAGAACTTTTTCTGTAAATATTACATATAAAAGTATATCTTATAATTCTTTCTTTAAAATTTAGACAATCTGAATATAGAACTTTTTACATGAAAAACTTATTATTATTATTACAATTATTACAGAAGTTTATATTGTTAACGAAACTTTTATTGTAGATTTGATATAAAAAAATTATTTTTTATTATTATTAAACTTTTATTGTAAGTTTTGTATAAACAAATTATTATTATTATAAAAAATATGATATAAGTTTGTACTATTAATAAATCTTTTATTATAAATTTTATATAAAAATATTATATTAAAATTCTTAACCATTATTATAAAAGTTCATTTTAGTAAAATTTTTATTATAAGAATGTTATTATATATATAATTCGTATTAGGGAAGTTTATATTTTTGATGAAATTTTATTATTACTTTTATATCGAAAAGCTATTATTATTTTTAATATAAAGAATAATAATAAATACATGATAATAGTAACAACAACAATAATAATTATAATAATAATAATAGTAATAATAATAATAATAATAATAATAATAATAATAATAATAATAATAATAATAATAATAATAATAATAATAATAATAATAATAATAATAATAATAATTTTTTAAGGCGATGGCAAGAATGAATAGAACCATGAACTTACCGCGCATGCAAAATATTATGATGAAGTTTGAAAAAGTTTTCTTTTAATTATATTATTATTACTTGTTTTATTCGTATTATTATTATTAATACGGTTTGATTATTATTATTTCTATTATTTGTATTCTTCGTACCATTATTATTGTATTTATATTATTCGTATTATTATTCTTTTTAATTTTTATTATCTCCATAATTATTTATATTATTGTATTATTTTAATATATATATCATTACTTGTACTATTATTATTTATATCATTGGTATTTTCACTGTTCTATTTTATTACTATTATTGTTATATTCATATTATTCGTATTATTATTTTAAAGGAATCTGAAATAATGAATATGAAAAACGAACTCATGAATGATACGGTTGACGATGTTCTCGAAGATCCCGATCAGGAGCTCGAAACCGAAGAAGTCGTTAGTAAAGTGCTCGACGAATTAGGGTTGACCCTCGAAGGAGAGGTTCAATCACTGCCTTCCTCATTATTTTTAGCGCTTTTGTTATTAATTTCTTAGTATTGTAGTAATTTTTTCTGTTTGGCTCAACTTTTTATATATAAATTTTGTGCCGAATAAAAAAATGATTGTTATGGAAAATTATTAAGAAAGTAGAAAGTAAAAAGTATAAATATTATGAATATTCTACCCATAAAAAAAGATTTATAGCATACATATTGATGACTTTTTTATAAGTATATAAAAAAGTTTTATTTATTTCCTTTTGTTGTTTTTTTTTTTTTTACTTATAGCAAAATCTTCACTTATTATCAGTTTATAAAATACACTAAAAAAATTTTATTATTTATTATTTTTTTTACCTTTTTTACTTTCATAATTATAATAATTACTTTTATATATTTTTTATTATATTATAAAAAATAATTTTATTATTTCTTTTTGTTGCTTTTGTTGTACTTTTATTATAATAAAAATCTTCATTAATTACTTTTTCATAACTTACTATAAAAAGTTTAATTATTATTGTTTTTATTATATTTCTTTACTTTTATAATTATTATGAAATCCACTACTTAATATTTTTTATTATATATATTTTTCGCTTAAAAAGTTTATAATAAAATATTTTTATACGTCGTTTTAATATTTGCCTCATTTCTATATTTTTACTATTTTTATTACTTTTTTAGTAAAAATTTCCTGTAGACACTTATTTTAAAGTTTAGTATATTCTTTATAAATAAAATTATTTATATTATTTTTTATTTTTTTTTATTTTTTTTTTACTTTGAATATTTTTTTCGGCTAAAAATTTAATTAAAGTTTTTTGTTTCACAAAGAAATGATAACTTAACTTATCAACGCTTCTAATAAAAGAAATTTAATAGAAATAATAGTAATAAAAAATTTAATTTATAATTTTTTAAGTTGAATTTCTGCGTTTTCATAATATTTTAAAATAATTTATTACTTTTTCAAATTTTTTACATGAATTATTTAATAATATTATAATAATAATAAAAATTTTATCAAAAATTATTTTTCGCATAAATATGGTTATAAAAACAAGTTAATTTTTTATAATAAATTTTTATTTTTCTAATATTTTTATTGAGAGTTTTATATAAAATAATATATTTTTTGCATGGGATATCGAGAATAATCATTTAAGGTGCGCACGTGTTCACAATTTGATTAGCAAGGCGACAAAGTCGGGCCTTTAATTAAATAACAAATTCTAATATTGCACCCAATTAACCAATAAATGGGTTTAAATTATTATTATTTGTAATGCTTTGTAATCGTTACAAATTCAAGTCGGTCAATTCTTTTGTTGCATTATAATAAAAAGATACAAAAAATTATTTACGCCTTTGGAATTTTTTATTTTTAATTTAGTATTTAATTAATATAAAATTTTCTACTGTAGAAAAATTTTAATTGAGTTTAAAGTTATAAAAAGTTTTTTACTTATAAAATTATTTAGTTATGAGTTTTTTTTTTTGACAAAATTTTTTTTATTATAGAAATTTTAATGTTACTTTTTTTTACTTAAAAATTTTAAATTATAGGAAATTTTTCATTTTAAAAAAATTTTATTATAAAAATTTTTTTCTTAGTAATTTTAAATTACAGTAAATTTTTTATGTTAAAGTTTTAACTAATTTTTTTTTATTATGAATTCATTTTTTTACTTAATTATTTTTTAATTATAAGGAAAATTTTTATTTTTAAAAAAGTTTTAAGCAATAAAAAGTTTTTTTACTAGTAGAAATTTTTTATGTTGAATTTATTTTTTAATTTTCCATTTTAAATTATAGAATAAAATTATAAATAATAAATAATATTTACGTTAAAATTTTTTTTTATGATTTAATTTTTTTTTTTACTTTAAAAATATTTTTATTATAAATTTATTTTTTTCTTAAAAATTTTAATTGTAGGGAGTTTTTTTATTTTTAAAAAATAATTTTAAACAATTTTAAAAATATACGTTAGAAAAATTTTGTTCGGAATTTAGTTTTCACTCAATAATTATAAATTATAGGAAAGTTTTTTATTTTAAAAAAAAGTTATAAAATAATAAAAAGTTTTTTTATTTTAAAAAAATTTTAAATAATAAAGAATTCTTTACTTAAAAAAAATCCTCTAAAATATATTTTTTTATTTTTTACTTTAGAGAAAACTTGCGATAACTTTTTTTAATAATAATTATTTATTTTATTACTTTTAATAAATTTTTTAAATATTATTAAAGTTTAAATATAAAAACTTTTATTTTTATTTTTTTTAATGCTTCTATATTTTTTATTACTATTAAAATAATAATAATAATTATAATAATGTTTTTATTATTATAATATTTTTTTGTTTTCAGTTTATATTTTTTTTAATAATGATGTTTTTCGAATATATATATTTTTTCATAAAGTTTATTTTTTTATTCATAATTATTATATAATTTTTTGCTTTACATATTGTTTTTTTTAAAGTTCTTAATGTATATTTAGAATAAAGCTAGTATTTATTTATTTTTAATATTTTTAAAAAATTATTATATTATGGGAAAAAAATAATGATAAAAAACTTCAAAAACTTTACAAATAGCTAAAGAAACTACACAAAATATAGGAAACAAAGTTTTATTATTAAAAAAGTTTATCGTTTTTTATTAGAAAAATTCAACATTTTACTTTTTTTTATATTTTTAATAAGAAAATATAAATATTTAATGTTTTTTATAATTAAAATATTTTTATGTCGGGAAAAAAATATTAAAATAAAAATTTCATCAAACTTATAAAAATAAAAAAAAACTACACAAAAAATAAGAATAACTTTTTGTTATTATAAAAGTTTATTATTTTTTAAAAAATTTAATATTTTATTTTTTATATTTCATAAAATTCTATAGTTAATATTATTATTTGTATTTGCTAGAAAAGTTTATTATTTTTTTTATAAAAAATTATTTATTTTTTTAAATTTCTATAAAATAATTAATTTTTTTGAATTTTTTTTTATACGTTGCTTAAAAAAATTATTTATTATATAAATTTATTTAAAAAATAATAAAGTTATAAGAAAATTATATATAAACTTTTTTTTTGAATTTTGTATAAAAGTTATGAAAAAGTTTTTTATTTTTGAAAGTAACTTATTTGTATAAAAAAATAAAAAAGTTTATTTTTTTTAATATTTTAAAAAAAGGTTATTATATACTTAATAAAAAATATATACTTATTACGCTTTTATTTTAAATAAGTATGGAAGTCTTTTTTTTTCTCGTTTTCTCTATATAATAAAGTTTATTACTATTTATTATTTTGTAAAGAAAAAATGCTTTACTTTGAAGAGTTTTATATAAATATAAAAAACTTTTATCTACAAAAATAAGATAATATATAAAAATTTTGTTTTATTTAATAATAATAATAAAAGTTTATATATTTTTTTATTCGTAATATTTTTAATATATTATTATTATTCAAAATATTTTAGGATAAAGTATAATAAAGTTGATTTTAGTATTAACATTTTAAAAATAAGTTTTCACTAGTAATTTTTTTATTTATTTTTAAAAGTTTCTTAATAAAGTTTATTATTTTTTAATAATAATAATATTCTCATGCAAAACTTTCAGCTCATTAAAGCCCCTGAGACGATTCCTAATGCGGAAGAAAAGGAAACGGCCGGTTCGTTTACAGATTTGCAGGCTCGTTTGAATGCTTTGCGGAACGGCTGATGCTTTTCTGCCTTATTTTAATAATAATAATAATAATAATAATAATAATAATAATAATAATAATAATAATAATAATAATAATAATAATAATAATAATAATAATAACAATAATAATCAAAGTTATTATAGTATTTATATCACTGGTTTGCAAATAAAATAAAAAGTACATAAGCAAGAAAAATATTCTAAAATTACTTTTATACTAAAAAAAAATAATAAATAATAAAAATGTTGAAGGAGCAATACAAAGATAAACTTTTTAAAAATATTCAAATTATATAATAATCATAATAATTATTATTTATTACTATAATAAACTTTTATATTGTAGAAAAATAATTATTATAATATATAAATATTTTTTATTATCATTTTTATGAAGGCAACTTTTCTTTTTTCTCATTTATTATATTTATTTATAGAAAAATTTATTTTATTAGTTTCAATTAATATAAATCTTTTATTTAATTTTTTTTATTTTTTTTTATATTACAAATAAATTTTTGTATATTTTTAAATTTTTATTTTATTATTTTTTATAATTCCATACAAATTTTTTTTTTTATATTTAAATTTTTTATTACTATTTTTTATATATAAACTTTTTATTTTTTATTTATTTATTTTATTATATTTAAGTTTATAACAATTCCATTATAAATTATGATTTATATTTTTTTTTTAATATAAAATTTTTCTTTAGTTTTATTATGTTTACTTTTTCTATCATACTTTATGTTTTTATTATTACTATATTTTATATTTTTGTTCTATAAATTTTATTATATAATATTTTATATAATACTTTTCATCAAGTAAAAAATATTCTCAACATTTTTTGACTCCGTAATAAACTAGAAATGAAGACAACAAATAATAATAAACTTTTTAAACATTTAAAAAAATAATAATAATGTCTTTTAGACCGGCCCCATCAATCTGATATAGTTTATGAATTTATTCGTGACTTTTATAAACTAAAACCTTCATTGGCTGTTTTAACCTACAAATCGCGTCTAGATAGCTATGGTGACACGTGGAAGGCAGATCACATGCATGTGTCAAGGGGCCAATACGCCTTTTAGGATTTATTTTGCTTTTGATAACTCTTATTATTAGGACAATACTACTACTACTACCAAGAATAATGATTATAATATAATAGTAGTAATAATAATAAATAAATAAATAATAATACGTATTAATAATAATAAATAATAAATAACGGGGGAAGTTAAGCTTTATTGAGTAGCGAAAAAGAGTTTTTCTATAATAAAAAAGTTATAGTTTTTCAGTTATCTATTAATCTTCTAAAAGTCTTATTTTTTTATTTTTTTCATTTTTATTCGTTTCCAAATTATTTTGAATTGCTTCGTGCGAGGGAATATATAAATTCTATAAAGATATAGTAAATAGTTTATGTTATATGAAATTATTAATAATGAAAACCATTTCAATATGCCGATCAGAATCTTTTAACATTTCAATATTATAATCTTCAACATTTCCTTCTAAAAGAATTTCGTTGGCTTCATGAATTTTAGGCAAAAAATCTTTTACCCGTTTTAGTACTTTTATAATAAAAAGTAAAAATATTTATATAATTATTAATACGTAGATTTAGTTACTGTTTAGCGGTTTCGGTTTGCTAATTATAATTTTCCTTTCTTGTAATTTCTTTAAAATGATATCTTAAAAATTTTAAAAAAAAATATTTATTAAAAACTAGAGGAAATGTAAAACTCTTGAATTTTATGTTAACAATATTTTTTTAACTTTGATAAGTCTATGGAGCTACAGTACGCTACTTGAAAAATTACTAAAATCCAATTTTATTAACAAAAAAATTTAGTCAAGCGAAAATTCAAATTTGGTCCCAGAATTAATTTTAAAAAATATTAGTTACTTTACCCATATTATATTAGACACCAGGTCACAAATTATATTCCTGTACCAAATAACCTTTTGATATCTACTAAAACAATAAAGATGAGTCAATATGGTTTAAATTTATTATAAATTAAAATAAGTTAAGTCAGTTTTTAATTTAAAATTGAAGATTCTATTGAATTGGAATAATCCAAAAAAAAATTCGTTAAAAACAATCAAAATTATATTTGTATTACTGATTGCTTGTAGAATTAAAAAATTTATTAATTATAAAACTTGCCTAATTAAATAATAAATAGGATTTTTACAACTTGGAGAATTTACCAAACTTTACTATAATTCAACAAAGTTGAATAACGTTCATATTATACCATTTCAAAATTTAATAACTTTATAAAGCATATAAACATACAATAAAAAAGTCTAAGAAGAAAGTAAATCTTTCAAAACCTGATTTAGTTTTATAAGAAATATTTAAAAGTTCGTCAGATGATTTTTGAAAGGTGGCAAGAGGGGAATTTGGACAACTTTCATGGGTTTTTGGGATGAGAGAATTATATGTTTCCAATTCTGAAAGACGAAGGCTGCTAGTAGTGTAGCATTTATCATTATTATTACTATTACTATTATTACTTTCCATATTCTCTTACATTCCCTTCATAGCAATTTTAAAGATATTTACTATTATGCCTACTTTACACTGAGTGGTCAACCCCTTCAGCGTTGCATAGCATCACCTGCACTCCAAGCTTTGTTTTTTTGAGTTCCGAGTATAATTTAACACCTCCATGCTTAACTTTTTTTATTGTACTTATTGGACTATTTTTTTAACTAAAATTGATTTTATTTTTATTTTTTATTAATAGCCTGTACACAGGTTCTACAAAATTTTTATAAGCTAAATTTTATTACACGTGTTCTTCTCAAAAGAGTATCTATTTTTTCCTGCAGTTTGCGTTAGAACTGATATGAGTATATTTGTTTTTAAACTGGCTTGTTTAATAACTGCGCACTATTTTTATAATATAAACTTCACATTTAAATTAAGTACGAAAACAAATGGGATATTAGAAAGTATCTTTTAATTATAAATTCCTCAGGAAAACATATTTGTATATAAAATATTTTAATGCTGTCTTTCAGGGGTGTGTGAGGTTACTGCCTCGTTCTGTTAGCATCCTTTCAAAGTTTAAGAAGTAGGTAAGCAATTAAAAGTTCCTGGTAAAGGCTTCTTTTTCAAAAGCATATATACGTCTACTTATCAACGATATTACAGCATATTACAAAAAGAACGCTGACTTTAAAAAAAAAATCATGAGTCAAAGATAAACTACTCATCCGAGAATCGATGTATTGTTTAATTTTATTTTCAACAAACAATTATAAGCGTATATCAAACAACGCTGCTACGGCTACGTTAGATACTATTTTATCTGTTAAAAGTTTCAGGTGAGAAGAAACACAACTGTTAGAATTCTTAAATACTGCTACAACTCTCAGGGTTGACAGCCAGCGTAAAAGTGATTGTGGACCCCACAGCCATATTAATCCGTTATATTGTAGATAAACTCTCTTTTCTATGCTTACGACGATGAATCTTCATATATTTTAGAATTGGAGTAAGGTAAGACTATAATCGAGCCTTCCTGAAATATATAAATTTTTAAACATTGAGATAAACTTATGAGCTCAAGACACGACTATTTTTTTTATTAATATATCTACATAATGAATTCTTCATTTATAACACTTTAATAAAATAAACAATTTATAAGAATAAAGCTCGACTATAACATGTCAACCCAACTTAAGTTTAGCTTCTGATCCAAGAATAACCAAACAGCTTGGAGGTATTTACTTCTAAAATTATTAATAAACAGGAACCTAAGCTATAACGAACTATTAAGTTTTATAATAGCTAAAAGGGCAATTTAAGCTTTTTTATATATACATTTAAATTTAGCATTCCATTTACGCTGTGTAAAGTAGTGTTTTATTATAAGATTTCGTCACCTTTTAAGTTTGGCTCCAACTTTTTGCTTGTTTAGCAATATAAAACGCTGTATAATTTAAGTGGCTAGGAAACCTCAACTACGGTAAAAGATTCTACTTAGCAGAATGTTTTACATATCTAATATTTAGGTGAACACCACCTCATTAATTATGATACAATTATTTTCAAAGTAGTTTAAAATTATTTTTTTAGGGTTTACAGCAAAAAATTTATTGATCTTAAATATCGACTAAACGATGACACATCCAGAATTGCAAAATTATAATCAAAAAATTTAAGTTTAATGTTAAAATATTCATACAAAATGACTTGTGTGAACAATGTTTTTAACTTCAAATTACCAAAAAAGATAAAAAACTATTTTGAAATTTCATATTTTATAATTTATAGCTTAAATTGTTTCCAAGTTTTGTAATAATAGTAATGTAATATATAATGTATAGGTTAAGGTTAGGGTTTAGGAATGAAGGAGAGAAAGAAAGAAAGTTTATCGCTTAATAGTTATTTTTTTCAATCTAAAAATTTTATAATAAGTAATGAAATATTGTCAAAGATATATATATTCAAGTTTTAACGTGCTGTAGGCTTTAAAATATAATAAACCGGTGAAAATTTGTAAACTTTATTTCCTCGTGGCGACTATTGCTAATAACCATTTCTGCGGGGGGACGAGAGTGAAGCTTTACTAACATGAGCTATTCAGCAGATGTTCTGTGACTTAATAAGAACACTTACAATGGAACCCGACCCCTCAAAAAGACATGCCTTGGAAGTTGAAGACCGTAATTACTTTTCTTATAAATCACCTGAAGTTTTAAATTCTGCTTTTACTTCAGGGTGCTTGCATGGTAAATTACTTTCCTCTACTGATATCCCTTCGGAGAACGACGGAAAAAGAGCTAAAAATAAAATAGGCCAAGAGCATTGTGAAAATTATACTACTTTAGAAAAAATAACTTCTTTACAGGAGCAGCTCTTGGAAGTACAAAATTTGATAGAACAGTATGGCGAAAGTGAAGATTTAGCTGCATTGATCGTTTCTTTGGGTAATTTAATTGATGAAGAACTTAAACAATTAGAAAATTGTAATACTCCTGATAGTAAGATTACTCTAAAAGGTGTGGTTAAAGCTTTTAACGTTGAGTTAGGTCTTGCCATGGTTGAAGCAATGAATTTTTCACAGGACACTTCTAAAAAAGAAGTTTTTTTACAAGTTATCGAGATCCAAGTATGTGACATTGAACTTCAGTCATCGCAACGTTGTAGTATTAGCTTTGATTTAGAAACTTTTGATAAACTTTACTATCAAGCGCCCGCCTTGCCAGATAAGGCGAAGAGTAGTGATTTTGAATCGGTTAGGACTATAATAGAACCTTTTAGACTTAAAAAAATTAATGTTTGTAACTTTGAATGCCAAGAAAAGATAAATTTTTTAATTAAAACCGCCGACATAACTTCCCATGGACTAAAATTTTTAACTTTGGAAGAAAATGTCTTGTTTGATCTGGAATTTCATGGCAACGTAATTTTCATTGTACATCTTATAAAAAATGCTTTTATTATAGAGTTAATTATATTTAGTTTACATTTATTTTTGTAAAAAACAAATTAGCACTTCCATTGGTGTATTTCTTATTTTAATCCTTAATTATAAAAAGAGAAGAAACTTTTCGCGGTACTTCAAAAATATCTTTACACTTAATTGTAATACTTTATTACGTTATTTGCAAAAGTAGAGGTTGGAGTTACTTGTAAAATTTATAAATAACAATATAAGAAGTTAATTAAAAATTAGTTAAAACAGTTTCCCATAAAAACTTTTATTAAAAAAAGGCTTCAAGTGTTAACTTTGCTCAGAGTAAAAGTACATTTATTATTAATAAAAAGCTCTAAATATTAATTTAATATAATTAATCATACTAATATTTTAACTGAAAGACGTATTCACATCGACTTCTTTAAATTTAATACTACTAAAAAAATTGAGTCTAATAGTTATAATAGATGAATGACTTGTTGTATACATTAATAGTTTTTAAAGCACTATTTTACTTATATAAATACTTCCAATTCCTTTATTTTAATAAAAGACTTTCAACGTAGTCAATATTCGTAGGAACAGCGGTTCGCCATTTGGTGGAAATCTTCCTTATAATAGCGAAAGTTGGCCTGTAATTATTATTTTTATAGACATTTATTTTTTAAACTATTTTGAATTTACTTTTTTAGGGTCGTAGAAGTTATCAAGAAGATCGTTTAATAGTAAACGAAAATCTTGGAAATTTTGGCCAAATGTATGGCGTCTTCGATGGTATTAAATTTAAAAATTTACTATTACTAAGAGAATAAGGAATTATACAGGCCACGGAGGAAGTGAATGTGTAGATTATATAGTTAAACATCTTCCTAACAATCTACGGAAAGAAGGCATTATAGTTTTCGATTTCCTATTTTTCTTTTTACTAATTTTATATCAATAGCAATTTTAAATGACAAAAAACAGTTAAATGAAAGTTTGATTCGTTATATAATTATAAAATCATTTTTGGAGACTGATGTGAATTTTCTTACTTCATTAAAGGTTTTTTTTTTGAGTTTAAAAAAAATATATTTTTTTAACAAGAATTAATGTAGAATGATTCTTCGGGCTCAACAGCGTGTTGCGCCTTTTTCCGAAACAAAATCAACGGCGGTCTTCAGTTAGTTATTGCTAACTTAGGAGATACGCGTGCCGTTTTGTGCAAAAATAAAAGTGCTGGTAGTTTTACTGCTTCCTTTTTTTATTTTTAGCACTTAATTAGTAAATTTTTTTGTTGTGATAAGTTCGAATCTCTACGGATCACAGGCCTGATCTTCTCCAGGAGAAAACAAGAATCAAAGAGTTAGGAGGGAATGTGGGCACATTTCAAGGGGTGGCCCGCGTGTGGCGTGATATTCCTTTGACCAATCAACGGTTAATTGATATGATCAATTGTTAAGTCAATTGGATGATTATTTACTTTATCGCAACAATAATCCAATAGTACATATCTTATCTTCTAAATGATTCGTTAATATGAATTACAAATTGTATTAACAGAACATTGGTTGTAATTTTTGTAAGAATACGTTAGTATTTTAACTATTTACAATGTCTTTTTTGGTTTTTTTTATATTTTAAGATAACTTTTTTGTGGGAAAAAGTACAGTAATTATAATGTTAATATATATGCATAACTCGCTGCCCGTATACTTTACTTTTACTATGTATTACGCAAAGTAATTATTAATACTTATTATAACTTATTAAACTTTTTGATAGTTGTCTATTGGCCGTAACGCGTTCTTTTGGAGATATCAATTTGAAGCCGAACATTAATCTCCCCATCGTCAGCAATGAGCCGGAGATACACATCCTCGACCTTCATTGTGATGATCAATTTTTAGTGATTGCTTCTGATGGGGTTGTTAAAGTTTTTCCTGCTACCTTTTTTTTATTTTGTGAGCTTTATTACTTTTTCATAACTATTATGAATTTTTTTTATTTTTTTAACATCTACTTCGTTTATTTTTTTTGGTACTTTGCATTAGAAGAAATTAAATTATTGAAACTATATTTGTTTTTTTTATTAGTTTTTCCTACTCCATCTGTTGGTTTTATATAAAATATAACAATATTACTTTTATTATTTATTATTATATATAATAATATTTTTATGGTTACTTAATCTACAATAAATAATATTATTAATTTCTAAACCTTTTAAACTTTACAAGTGTATTTCCTTTTTAAATTTTTAAAGAAAATTTTTTTTATAACTTTTATAATTTGCTTTTCTAATATTTAATAAAAATTTTGATTTTTTTACCTTTTTGAAAATTACTTACTATTATTATAGTTCTTTTATATTTTTATTATCTATAATAGTAATAAATGAACTTGAAAAAAAATATATATATTAGAATTTTTATAAATACTTGATGATTTTTTTTATTTTGCCTCTTATTAATATTGTTAATACAATTTATTAATTTTTTTTAGTTAGTTTTTTAAAATTTCTAATGACTTTATTTAATAGAATAAATTTTAATCAATTTTTATTAATTTTTTATTTATAATATTTATTAATTATTTTTCTTATACTTTGCTTAATTATTGTCATTTATAAAAATATTAATACTGAGTATTTAGTTATAGTAATTAATATATTAATTTTTAAGATTATTCACAATAAATTTATTTGCAATTTAAATTTATAATTATTTTTATAACTCTAATTATTACTGATTTTTTTTATTTTTCTAAATTTTTCTCTTAAACATTTTTATTATTCTACTTGATTAAATATCAATAATAAATTTAATTTGTAATTAATTTCGTAGTAATTAATATTCCTTTATAATATTGAAACTGTAATAGAGTATTCAATAATATAAAGTTATTATTTTTTATCTTAATAAATATTTTTTTTAGTTTAATTAAATTTATAATATTATTTTTATAACTTTTTTAAGTATTTTTAAAAATTTTTTCTTCTGAATATTTTTTTTATAGTTGGTGTTTTCGTTATTATGAAAATATTTATTGTTTTTTAAAATTATTTATTTGAAATAATCATTAGTTTTAATTTTTTTTTTTTAATTAATTTTATTATTTTCTATTGCAGTTATTATCAAATTGCTAATTAAATTTTTATAAAACATTTTAGTTTACTTAAAAATGACAAAAAATCTGTTTTACTTTTATTAAATATTTTTTTTATATTTATTATAATTTAGTTCAAATTAATTTTTGCCACTATATTATTATATTTATATTATTTTATATGTATGTAAATTTTTAAATATAATTAATTTTTGATGTTTATTTTTATGTAAATATTTTTTTACGTGAGTTGTAAAAAAATTTTTTATAAGTATAAGTATATATATTATTTTGTATAATATTATTTATTATTTAATATGCAATTATAAAAATTTTCGAGGTTTGGGATGTTTTAACGGATAGTGAAGTTGTAGAACTTGTGCAACTCAGGTATCAACTGGTTTATGAAAATTATTATCCAGTATATTTACTTCTAATATATACATAATAATACAGTATTTCATATGCATTACTGTAATTATATCTTGATAATAACAGTAATTCTTGTATGACTTTCAAGTAATTCCAAGTCTTTATACAAATATAAATTATTATAACTTTTACTCACTCTAAAGTTATATTTGATCTTCTTATAAAAGTTTATTAAAAGTATATTTTCATTTTTTGTGTAAATTATATTATTATTTATATAACTTTTAAATTTTTATTAATAGTATTAGTGTCAAGTTATATTTTATTTGTTTATTTTTTTAAAAAAACTTGATGATTTTTATTATTAAAAGTTAAATTTAATAAGATATTATTGATTTAATCAATTTTTAATACTTTATATTATATTCATAATTATTTATTAAATATTAACTTTCTTTAAGACTATGGGAGTATATTATTATGTTTACTAAACTTATTAATTTTTTAAAACTTTTATTATTATATTAAATTATTTTCTGAATATATAAATTATTTTATATCAGTAAACTTAATGTTATTAATTTTTTTATGCGTAATTATTATATTAATAATATCAATAATGTTATTAATTTTACATTTTAGAACTTTTTTAATGTAATTTATAAATAATTTAATTTGGTCAAATCTTCTATTTTATATAAATTTCTTATAAAAAAACATATAAAATCTTATAATCAATAATACATAATTATTAGTATTCTAGTTGCTAATGGTTATAATTAGAGTATATTTATTTAATCTTTATAATTCTATACATTTCGTTAAGTTTTAAAATATTTTTATTAAAAATATAAAATAGTGAAAGGAAAGAATCGGCTACTCGCATAGTAAGAGTGGCTTACGATAAAGGAAGTTTTGATAATATAACTGCCGTAGTTATCTATTTTCCTTGGAAAAATAATAATAGTAACATTGTTAGTATTACTTCTGATAATAATAATAATAATAATAATAGTAATAATAATAATGATACGGCGTATGTTGATATGTTTTCTTAAATTAAATAAATTATAGATAGTAACTTTCTAAATTTAAAAATTTATAAAACGAGTAATTAATATATTTATAATATTAAAAATATTATAAGTAAATAAGAAATACAAGAAGAAAATTTATTATAATTTCATGATACGGAAAAATAAATAAACATTTATAATTGTTAGAAAAAATCAAATGGAATATAGTACTAATAAAAGTTTTATAATAGATGTAACGAATTTATATAATTTATTATAGTAATTTAATATTATTACAAAACAGAAGATTAGAAAGAAAATTTTAAAATCAATAGAAGTATTTATTGATAATAGCTGTTTAAAAAAAATTATATGGGAAGAAAGAGGCGTTACAAAAAAAATTTTAATTTTTTTTTAGTCTAGCTCATATCAATTTTATTATCTTTTCCAGTTATTCTCAATTATTTGATTGGGCGCTAACGGGGCCAAAGCTTAATACATACTATGTATACCAGAAAATAGCACTATTGTAAAGGCCCTACTGCATGGAACCCATTAGAGATCTAGTGTCGAACACGCATTGGCTGGTACACAAACAGAAATCTAAACTTAGATAGAGTCATTATGTGACTAGCCTAAAGCTCAAGTTAGTACTTTTAGCATCTGGAATCGATGCATTCAATAACTATTAAATAACATTAAATTCGTCTATTCGATGTAACCTTAGCTTTCAGATGCATTTAGTCGTGCAAGTTAGTAATATTATTAGAATTAGTCTCCGACTCCACCGAGACAAAAGGATACGCGGGGTTGAAGGGTAGGACAGCCAGATCAGGGCGTGGGCAATACTATCCGACAGCAGTTGAAGGTTCAAATTAGTTGCTGCGGTGCCCTAAGAAATACTAGTTAAATTTTTATATTTCTTGCAAGATGTCACCGGTGTTGATTCTCGATCTTTATACTTGAAGGGAAAATACCACCCTTTAGGACTTTTGTATTATTTTTAAGAGCTTTTCTTTTGAACCGAGAGGATAATTGTCCAATATTTTAAGGCCATCTATGACTCGTTTAGTCTTAAAATCCTCCTGGGAAACCTTTATAAAGCAAGGAAACCATAGTCAGTTTAAAGATAGCAGTGTCATACCGGACCCAGGCTTAAAATAAGAAAAGCTAAAGAGTCCAGGGAGCCCAAAGAATAGGTATTTGAAAGAAACATAGAGGGTATTAACCCTCTAACGGGCAAAGGTCTGGGGCTTAAAATAGATAGGTTTTTTCCTGCGAAATCGCTTCCAATGTTTAAAATGAACCTAGGCGACAAGTGATAAACATAGAAACCGGTAACCTAAATTGAGGGGCTAAACATTACAAAGGTGTCGGAGTACCTTAGTTGAATTTGGAATCACCCTTAAAAACGAATACCTAATACGGGCCCCTATCATTGTGCACCAACTCCGAGAATAACCTTTACAAAACTACTATAGCATAGCCCTACTAATGGGCCGGCCCTTCACCGCTTTATTGGAATTCTATTAAAGGTAAGCAGTTTACGACTGTTAAGGTGCTCCAGGCTTAACTTTGAAGGATAACTCTCTGATCGGACTTGAACTTGATAGCATGACAAAAACTCATAATCCGGATAATTACCTCCGGATGGCTTAGTCGCCCATAGGGCCATGTGCAGAAACAAAAAAAATTTCAATTATCTTTTTTAGTTTTACTTTAGTAGGACTAGCTAGTTAGCTCTCCTTTCTGGAGTGGAAGTTAATTAGTTTTGTTCTACTAGAGTAGAACTTTTTTTTTGACCAATAATTGTTTTAAGGGAGCTTTAGCGTCTACTTTAACTTCATCAAACGGTATTAAAGCTCCCCTTTTTTTCGCCAAATAGTGCCATTTACCAGTACCCTTTGCGCCTGAAAATAGTGTCAATATTTATAAAAATGAAAACCTTATCTAATCTTAGTGTTCTTACCTAGCTAAAATGCAACAACTTTACTGGTCAAGTAACTTTTGTAGCTTTGCAATGGTCTACTGTTGTTAAACTAATTGAGAAAGCAATGAAAAAAAGTTGTAATATATGTATCTTTCTGTATTCCGTTCGGAGATACTCAGAAGGCATGTTTTTCGCTTACTTTGATAATTCCTCTTAGCATTTTTATAAATCTACCTCAATTCTAGGACTTTATGTTGTGTAGTAAAGGACTTTTACCCTAGCGTTGTAGAAATACAGAGCTAGGGTTTGTAGTTTAGTTCGTCATATGTCGGAGGTAAGGCTCTCAAACTAGTTCAATTCTATTCAACATTAGTAATGCGGAGAGTACAATAACATAGTCACAAGCATATCTCGTTAGAATCAAGTAGATCTTTTCAAGACACTACATAGCGTTATTACCTCCATGGACTTAGAAAGTTATCGCTTAAGAAGTAGCCTATACTAATGACCTCTATATCAAGGGAATTTGTACGGGTAACTTTGAAAAATAATTATACACTCACCAACAGAACGTTTCTAACCTTAAAGTAGGAATATTTTCATAAAAACAGGAAGAAGCTGGTCAGGTTCTAGTAGTATCCAGTACTCCTGATGCATACCTCTACTTAAACGAAAGGAAGTTTGGCTATTATATGTTCAACAAAAGAACTAGGTTGATAACTTTATTCCATAACAGCAGGAAGGGGTGAAACTAGTATTAATATCCAAGGCGAAGGCAGTTCCACAATTGACTAAAGTCCCATCTTACAAAGGTTTGAAGAGAGGAATGATAAGGTACCTTGCTTGCTAATTGAAACAGTTCCCCTTCATGGATAATTTTACAAGAAGCTCAGGAAGGAAACACCTAGCCATACGATGTTTAATAACTAATTTTCGTTGAAGTCTTTGGAATAATGGCTGACCCGAAGCAGAACGATAGCCTATTGATTTAGACTAAACTGTTTTACTTTTTATTCATGTGTAAGATACTTTTTCTATTTATTTTGATATACCTGTCTATATTTTCTCTAGCTAATTGATAGCTGGCTTTAAAATAGTATTGTATTGTTCTAGTGTAGTACTCTATGGCTCCTACCTCATTTATGACAAATGATAAGATCTTTTCTCGTGTTAAACAAGCTAACACACTTCTACTTTAAAGAAAATTCAATAGCATTATGCGCTAGGGTCATTTTAGCATTTCTTCATAGATAAGGAAGGACAAGCACCGTGTGTGCTTAGTAAGGTACTTTACATTAAACTGGTAAAACATTGATGTTCTAGTGTGACATTTAGCCAACTCCTAGAAAATTAATCTTAATCCACGGTAGTAACGCTACTTAAAATAATAGTAGAAAATTGATTTTGCCGTTTCTACGACCTTGAGTTCAGGCATCACTAATCGTGTCAAATAGGGCACGATAGAATTAAGTCAGAGTGGATCTGCTCTAGTACCTTTACTTCGCTCTCATTCAGATTTAGCTGGTATTCGTACTAAGTATTACAGTGCTAAGGTAGTATCATTATTAGAGTACCAATAGAGTACCATTATTCTAGTCACTTCAAGTTTGTTGAACAAATCGTGGCAAAATGAGTACTATTTTGAAAGCAACTGTGAAGGTACTATAACCACAATCTACTTTGAGGGATCTGTTAGAGTGATATGCGATAGCTTTCTAAAGTAATCACGCTATCATCTTTAATTTTCACTCAGGAAGGTATCATAAATATTATATACTTTTCAGAAATCTTGGCTAATTATCCCCTTTATTAACTCGTGCTGTGCTCGCTGTACGAAGATATCGTGTATGTTTGAGGACAGGTTGTTTTATCTAGCTAACTTTATAACTAACACGTGATTCGTAAATAGCAGTATTGGCACTTATTCTCGGTTCAACTAAGCACGTGCAGACAACAGAGATGCCTTGAAAAGGTGAAAAGAATTCAACTAATTAACTTGACTAAAAAAATACTGTCGTCCTATTCTGTATCCCATCACTAAGGTAAGAGTGCTATAGGGGTTTAACCAATTATAGCATTGGTAGAGTACTTTCTTTTCAGCTCTGGTACAGCAGGGGTATAGAATATTGTTCTTGACTCAAAAGTTTAGGTTTTTTTAGTCGTTTTGCAATATCGTGTTAATGCTGAAAACAAACAAGCCTAGAGTAAAATTAAAAAGTTTTTAATTTTGTTCATAACCTAGTCTAAGAAGCATCTATAAGAGCTAACCCAATAAGAATAAAATACAATATAATACAATGAAATACAAATAAAATAAATCCATCACAATAAAATATAATAAAATATAACAAATAAATAAAAAAACTAAATTTTTACTAGTCAAAACACTAGTCTAATGCCTTTTTTGAGCTCTCCTCGGTGGCTTTAAAGCTTGACTAATTGGATAGGATGGAATTAACTTTTACTATTCGGAGCACACCATAGGAAGGTACTATAATATGCTTTTCAGAAATACAATTCTAGCACAATTATAACGCAATTATGAGTCTTAGTTACTATAGCTCATGCTGCGCTATGACTCAAAGTTCGGTCAGGTAGGTACTATATTCCGCCCCGGGGTCATGGTGGTGCTATGACTCACGTTGCGCTACGGCTCTAAGTTCGGTTTTATATGTACTATATGGAGCTACGCTGGAGCTCATAAAGATGCTGTAGCTCACGCACCATTTACGAAGCAAAATGATTCCGAGTACAATTTTACCTTACCTGGGTCATGGGGGTGTTGGGGCTCACGCTGCATGTGGTATTATGCTCTAGATTATAAATAATAACATTGATAAACATTAAGAAAAACTAATAAATAGAGAAATATTCAATAGTAAAAAACACCATGCATTTATTCATTTTTTACTAGTGAAAGACGCAAAATTAAGGTATATAATTCATCGTTATAGAGATGGTAATATCTACCTTTAAGTCAAATTGCTTGCGCACGTTCTGTGCGCTACCTTTGCACCT